CCCGAAACCCCGAAACCCCGAAACTTTCCCAAGTCGAGCCTCGGAGGTTCGACCCACCTCGGAAGTGCGTGTGGCTGGCCCTGGAGTTCATGGATGGCGGTGCCTGGCATCGACTTCTGGGGCTAGGCTTCCAAGGGGTCTTGAAGGGCGTTTAGGCTTTAGGGCTTTTTTTTTTGGGGGGGGTTTAGGGTCTTTGAGGGTTTGGGGGTGCCAGGGCCGAGGGGGCAGGGTTCCGCGGCTGAGGGTTCAAGGTTGAAGATTCAGGGAGGGAGTCAGTTCAGTGAAGGGGTAGTGCTCTGAACTAGTGTTTAGGATTTTTTTAAGGGTTCTTCGTATAAGGGCGCCGTACTCTATTTGGGGACCCAACAAAGGGACCCTGGTTTAGACGACTACCCATAAATGTTGGGCAACCCTGGCCACTTGAAACTCAAACGACCAGTCATCCAACCTGATCCCAGGCGATCTGGGCAACCGGATCAAAGCAAAACGCCAGGGAGGCCAGCCTCCTTTCGAGGGGCCCTTCCTGCAGCATCTCGGCTGCAGCGGAGGCGGCACGGAATGTATCATCACCCAACACCCCCGCCCCCCATTTTTAATGTATGTCAGCGCAAGAAGCAGGACCTGAACAGCAGTAGTCTGACAACTGCTTTACTGATGTTCTCTCCGGTATGTGGAAACCGGTGGGATGTGCGCACCCAGAGATTTTTAGCATACCAAGCAAGAGTGTTATTGGGAACGCTTTCGCAGCCATTTTGTCTCTCAATCTCAACATTTTGAAGAGTAGCTTGACGCGTGCACTCAGTCTCCATGCGGCTGCCCGGTCATGATTTGCATGTCTTTGAGCGGGACCTCCATCACGTGTGCTGGATCGTCGTGAACTCTCGCAAGCAGGAACGTGTGGCTGCGGATGTGTTCACTCCTGCACTCATGAACGAAATCATGCCATACCTGGCTGTCAGGTTTCGATCTCAATCTACGGTTGCATCAAGATGTGATCACACATGTGCTCTCAAGGAAAACGGGTCATTGGTATGTTTCGGACGTGATGTCTGCGGCCAATGTACCGCACCTCCCGATTTGGGCCCTGTGACTGCTGTTGCAGCTGCCTTGGATCACACCTGTGCGCTGAGATCGGACGGTCAACTCGTGTGCTTCGGAGACAACCGCTTCGGGCAATGTGAAGTGCCTCCAAGTCTTGGGCATCTAGTGGCAGTCGCAGCAGGCTGCGGGCACACCTGCGCCGTGGATGCAGACGGCGAGTTGGTCTGTTTCGGAGACAACCGATTCGGCCAGTGTGAGGTGCCGTCGGACCTTGGCCCCGTGGCAGCTGTGGTTGCAGGATGGTACCACACATGCGCTCTGAAGGCTGATGGTCAGCTTGTCTGCTTCGGCTTTAATGATGACGGGCAATGTGACGTTCCTGCTGACCTTGGTCCCGTCATAGCCGTGGCTGCAGGATGGTATCATACATGCGCAGTGAAGGCAGACGGTCAACTTGTCTGCTTCGGGAGCAACGAGTATGGAAGGTGCGATGTTCCGAGAAGCCTTGGAGCTGTGAAGGCCGTCGCTGCAGGAGAGGAGCACACCTGTGCAGTGACAACTGCGGGGGAACTCGTGTGCTTCGGGAACAACCGCTCATCTCAGTGTGATGTGCCACCTGACCTGGGCCCAGTGGAGTTTGTGGCAGCAGGATACCTTCACACCTGCGCGGTGAAAGCAGCTGGGGAGCTGGTTTGCTTTGGGGACAACATGTTTGGCCAAAGTGAGGTTCCTGCGGGCCTCAGATGTGCGGCTTCGCCGCCGTCCTGCAGAGTCCGGAAGTAGTCTTAAGGGCCTTCCTGAGTAAGCTTCGAGGCTAGCCAGCGACGGATCATCGCGCGTCGGCGGTTTTGCGTAATTGAGCAGGATCACGTGCCGGGCAGCTGCCCGATGTGTCTGCTTGGTGTACAGACCTCCCGAATCCATGGAAGATTTTACATGCCACTTATTTGGGCATGGGCTGAACATTGCGGGCTGCCAGCCTTGGGTCACCATCTTCATGCGATCAACGACAAAGCTTTTAAATTCACAGGGTCTTGCTGAGTTCGCAGAGACCCAAATCCTGGCGAGCTTGTTCAGAGTCTGGCCCGTCATGTATAGAGAATGTGCACGGGAGAACATGTGGCTTCAGCGGTTCCTGAGAAGTAGCTTCAAGTGGTTCCCTTTTCATGTAGGCATATCATAGCCATCATGCTGAGCAAAGTGGACACTCCCGTGAATCCAGTCCTAACTTATGATTAGCTACGCGTGGTGGCTTCGATTATGATCTTGGAATTTGCCACCTGGGTCGATCTCTTGCGGTTCGGCCGTGTTCGTTAATTGTGCGGCTGCAAAGCGAAACGTTTGGTTTCTTAGTGCGGCAGCGCGATGCCGCTGCAGTGCTAAGGTGGATGCCGGTAGTGCTGGTCAGGTATGAAAGTATGAAACGTCCTGTTGGCTCCTCCCAGCTGCAAGCAGCTTGCACCTTGAGGGCAGCTCACTCGACATCCCTGCGCGATTCAGCCTTTGTATGCATTTGCACTTTTCCCTTATCATCAGTCCAACCATCCACAGCGATGAGTGTGCCTGGGAAGAGTCCAAAAGGAGGAGCTGTGCGACGATAGCACTTGTCGGAGGAAACCATGGCAACTAGCTGAAAACTATGACGGCAATTGCCGGTCCCAGCTTAGATGGAACACCGAGTAGTTCACTTGGCTGTAACAGCTCGCGTCTGAATGCTGAGGCATGTGTTGTCCACGGTGGGTGGCGCCCTCTGCTATATACACTCCCAAGGAGTACTCCACCGGGATGCCGCTCGCTTGGTTCAGATCGTGTTCATTTTTCCAAGTCCTAACCATGGTTGAGATTATGTGGGTGGTTCTTTAAATTAGGGTCCCTTTGGCAATTGGCCTGGATGCAAAAGGGTCCGTTGTTAAAAATAGACTACGTCACCCTTATTACGTGGACACTATTTTAGACAACTACTCATATGCCTGAAAGGCGGCTCTGTGCCGCTTTTGCGCAAGGTCACTTGCCTAAGCTTAGGCGCCCAGGCTCAGCCCAGCACACTTTATTCCGAAATCTTGCCCCTCCAATTCCCAGAGAGCCCAATACCCCTTAAGGAATATACCTTAAATTACAGGGGCCTTAATATTATGATTTAAGGTATATTCCGTAATTAAGGGGTATTGGGCTCTCTGGGTTCGAGCCCTCCCGGGAGGTCAAGCCGCCGAACATCCTTGTCAGCAACAGCCTACACGAAGTGAAGCTGGCAGACTTTGGGATTTCCAAAATTCTCGAAGCTTCCGGCCACGCAGGCCGCTCTTCTGGGGGGGGGGTGTGTAGAAAAGCAACGCAGCAGCTAGATGACCGGTTTTGACAGGGGCATTATGACCGAGCACTACAGGTGTAGGCTACGAAGGCATTAGGGGCGCCTGTGACGTACATGTCATGCGGGTGTATGGAGGTCGAAAAATTCTGGGTTCGCGAAGGGGCCACTGTGGACATAGCAAACTCGACCAGGAACGGTATTGGGAACTCCGGCCTACATGTCGCCCGAGCTTGTCTCAGGTAGCCTCTTGGCAGAAGGCATCTTTCGGACTTTTTTTCCTCGTCCTGAGAACGAGACACTTTTTAAGAGCTGCAGGTGGTTTGAGGCTGTTTGGTTTGGGTTTAGGGGAAAGGACCAACGGTGTTGGGGTTTAGGGTTCAGGGTATGGGGGTTTAAGGTATAGGGTATAGGGGTATAGGGTTATAGGGTTTAGGGTTTGGTGTTGAGGGAGAAATCTGTCAGAATCGCGGGAGCATGGGGAGTCCTACAGTTTTAGGACAGCCCTGCACGTCTGGGTTGTGACCTAGGACCTTACGGAACTGCCGCAGATGCCTGGGCTCTGGGTGCATGCCGCTGGGTTCGCAGCCTAAACCCTAAACGCCTAAACCCTAAGCACAGTTTCCCAGAGCAGCAGCAGGAAGCCGGAAGTCCGTGGCTTTGGGGCCTCTACAAGGGGCTGCGCCGGAAGGTTTTGGTTCAGGGGGGCTCCAGGTATTGAAAGCCGTCCGCCGTGAGCCTCGCCTGGACATGTCCCAAGTGTGAGTGCAGGGAAGCTCTTGAACCCTCCAGGTGCAAAGGCCTCAATCCCAAGAGCCCGAACCCCCCGAGCAACAGACCCCTGCATCCCAAAAATACGGAAGAATCCGACAACAAAAGCACCCCAACCAACTCCCACCTCTGCGAGGACCTGTCCCAAAAAAATCCCAGCTCCCCTCCGCCCTGAAGCCGGAAGTGTGGGGTTTAGGATATGCGTTTCATGGTTCCGGGTTCTGGCTTGGGTGCTGACGGAAAGGTCTCTTCGAGCTGGCGTGCCTCAAGCGGCCCTTTGATGCCTCGAACCAGCCTCCTCGGCCGAACATGGGGGGGTTTCAATGAGCGTCCGACTCTGTCGGGCCTTTGTTGAGGTATCTTGTGGCTTTCTCAGCTGGCAAGACTTCCGCTACAAGTAGTGACCATGTTACCATCCATTTAGCATGCCCGGAGTTCGTTGCTGGTCTGTTGCCAGGATCAGCTCTATGTGTCGCCGAAGCCGAAGGGGTGTGAGGATGATTCCATCTAGTATGTGCACTTTGTCGGATTCGTGTGCCCCAAACAGAGCCTTGAACCCTTACTCGTATGTGCATGCAGCGGACAACTCCAAGAGGTTCTTAGGGGTTTACTTCCGGAACCGAGGTAGAGGGAGAGCCAGCCTTCAAGCCTTTCTCAAAGAGAACCCTGAGCTTGATACTGCCGAAGGTTGGCGCTGGTTTGGCAGATCGTCGAGCATGACCCGCCTGAGCTGCCACCCGAGACGCCGCCGGAAGCCCTTCTTGCAGAGGGGTCTTGTGGGCTCCCGCCGTCTTTGCTTCTGATGTGTTTCGTTTGGGGCCTTGCAAGGGGCAAGAAGCCGCAGTCAATCAATGCTCAGGCTACTCTGCCGGAACCACGAATCTTTGTTTTTTTGGAGGGTTGCGATGAGTTGTGGTTCAAGAAAGGAGTGCAGCTACGAGACTCGCGAAGCAGGAGACTGTAACAGCACAGGCCAAGTAGGCACGGGCATGGTGGTGACCGGGCCAGTCAAGAGTCTCAGATAAGCCAGACAGATCGCCAGAGTAGTTCATGATTACACAACATGGTCAACAAGTAAAACGAGAAAAGATCTCTGACATTTTTTTGTTGTTGGGCATCGGCCGAGGACATGGTGACTGTTATCCGTGGCCTCCTCAACAAGGACCCGTGTCGACCTCGGAACTGAGTGTGCTGATACTGCGACCCCTACTCCGAATGCACCGAGGACGACGACGACGAACTCTCCTGTTAATTACTACCACCACTTCCACTACTGCCGCGGCTGCCACTGCTACCGCTACTGCTGCTGCTTCTGCTGCTGCTTCTGCTGCTGCTGCTGCTGCTGCTGCTGCTGCTGCACTACCACCGGAGATACGGTGATGATCAGCACCATCCGGAAAAAAAGCCCGAATCATTGGTCATGTTGCTGAGATTTGCTTTCGAGGGCCTTTGAAAGGCTCCGGCCGATAAAGCCTCAGCAGGTTCACTCACACTAGAGTTCCTGCGACCCTTCCGCTAATCCCGCGAACCACCTCGGGCCACCGAAAGATTTCTCCCAGGTCACTCCGGCTGCGACTGGAAGAGCTCGTGCCCGATGAGGCACAAGCGTCGACAGAACAGATGTCTGAGTCAACGGCTAGTCAGTGAAGAGGACGACACATGCCGGACCAAGCAGCAATCGAACGCTTCCCGCCCTAGCTGTTGCCAGTTCAAGGTTAGGAAAGTCGTGCCACGTTCCGTCGCCCTTCTTGCCTGTCATGTCTCGCCCCGTGCTCTCCGGAAACCGTCCGCTGAGTGAGGCGGATCCGGTGATGGCAGGCTTGGTGCAGGCAGAGAAGGAGAGGCAGATGAAGTGCATCGAGCTCATCGCCTCGGAGAACTTCACCTCGCGAGCCGTCATGGAGTGCTTGGGCTCGGCCTTGACCAACAAATACTCCGAGGGACAGCCCGGTGCACGCTACTACGGTGGCAACGAAGTGATCGACAAGGTGGAGAATTTGTGCAAGGACCGCGCCTTGAAGGCCTTTGGTCTGGATGAGAAGGAGTGGGGCGTGAACGTGCAGCCGTACTCCGGAAGCCCTGCCAACTTTGCCGTCTACACCGCCCTGCTGCCTCCGCATGCACGCGTCATGGGCCTCGACCTTCCCAGCGGCGGGCACCTCACGCACGGCTACTACACTGCGAAGAAGAAGATCTCTGCTCCTTTGCAAAACACAGGTTCGCTTAGTACTGTAGTGCTTCGCTCCACGTCCTGGGGAACAAAGCATGGGGTTGGTCGGTGCTTGAGTTCTGCAACAACTACTTGTAGGAGAACAGAAGGGCTGCACATGTGTTAGTTGTTGCCGAGGCACCAAGTGTTTGTCGAGGAGCAAATAAGTAAATGACTCCGACGATAGCAAGGGCGGTGCCTGAAACATGGACGTAAGTGAAGGGGTCATCCGTCGAGAGCAAAAGAAGGACTGCAGCCCAACGCCTGTTCGGATTGTGAACCCGTTTCCGTCGAATTACAGCCCATGCTGTCCTGGTCACACCAATTCTTCCCTTGCATATCCTTGCAGCACTGCCCCACCCGACATCACCGACCGCCATCTCATGTCCAAGCCCTGCCTGGCCCTTCTCTTCCTTTCCAAGATTTATGTAGACGGGAGCATCGCGAGAGCGAGGGTAGACGATCGGTCTTGGTGTAGGAATCTGACCAGTCTCCAGATTCCCAAGGCCACGTCCATCTACTTCGAGTCGCTGCCATACCGTGTCCACCCGGAGACGGGACTCATTGACTTCGACGAGCTTCGCAAGACCGCTTTGGTCTTCCGGCCGGCCATGATCCTCTGCGGTGCCTCCGCGTACCCGAGAGTGGTGGACTTCGCGAAGTTCCGGGAGATCGCTGACGAGGTTGGCGCCTTCCTCATGGCGGATATCGCCCACATCTCCGGCCTGGTGGCCACCGGTGAGCATCCGTCGCCCTTCCCCTTCTGCGACGTCGTGACCACAACCACACACAAGTCCCTTCGGGGCCCCCGGGCAGGCATGATCTTCTTCAAGTACAGCGAGAAGGTGCCGGACATCAAGGACCGGATTGACATGGCCGTCTTCCCGGCTCTGCAGGGTGGACCCCACAACCACCAGATCGGCGGCCTGGCTGCGCAGTTGTTGGAGGTCTCCACTCCGGAGTTCAAGGAATACTCCAAGCAGGTCAAGGCCAATGCGGATGCCCTGGCCAAGGCCTTGATGGCCAAGGGCCACAAGCTCGCGAGCGACGGCACGGACAACCACCTCATCCTTTGGGACCTGCGCCCCCACGGCCTGAGCGGTGGCAAGGTGGAGAAGGTGTGCGAGCAGTGCTCCATCACGCTGAACCGCAACGCAGTGCACGGCGACGTGTCGGCCCTCTCCCCGGGCGGCGTCCGCGTCGGCGCCCCGGCCATGACCACGCGAGGATGCACCACTGCCGATTTTGAGAAGATCGCCGACTTCCTGGACAGGCGAGCTTTCCTGAATGATCGGATCCCTGAAAAAAACGACCCCTAGAAGAAGCCCTGAAGCCACCAACAAAAGGGCCCCCTAACACCCCCTAACCAAAAACAAAGGGACGCATGGACCATGGCAGGTGCTGCAAGATCGCCTTGAAGGTGCCTGGGTTCTTGTTAAGGGATTTACGATAAGTTTTACCATCTAGATCCCTATTATGGGTACCCCAAACCCTAAACCTGAAAAAACCCCTAAACTCCCTAACTCCCCAAACCCTAATCCCTATTACAAGAGAGCCCCAGAGGTGCAGGAGGAGAAGGGGAAGAAGCTGAAAGACTTCGAGGCCGCTTTGCCCGGCAACGCGGACATCGGGGCCCTGAAGAAGGAGGTGGGGGGTTGGGTTGGGGGGGGTTATGGCTCTGAGGGTTTTCTATACAAGCTTTTCGGGACTTCTAGGGACTTTTTTGAGCGATTTTCAGGGTTTTTTTGGGGGCTTTAGGGGCTTTAGGGTTTAAGGGTTTAGGGCTTTTTTTGGGGAGAGCGCCCCTCATCGGTATCCTTGCAGTAAGGGTCCTCCGATTCAGGAGGTGAGCTCATGTTAGGGGTCCCCATGTATTGGTGTCCTCTTGACAAAAGATCATAAGGACCCCCTCCCCCCCCATTATTTGGGGTTTTTATGGAGAGGGCATGGAACGACCAGGTCGAGGCTTGGGCATCCACCTTCGGCTACCCCGGGCTCTGAACTTCTGTGCCGTGAGACATCTTTCCTGAGCCTGGCGGAAGGCCTAATTTCGCTTTGGTTCAGATGTGCTGCCATGTTTCGGTGCCATTTGTGAAGAGAGGGGTGTCGAGAGGTCTCCAGGAGCCCGCCTCTGGCAAGGCTTTCTCGGCCCTGCAATCGACTGTTTGAACGCCTGATGCATCAAGTCGCTTGCTTCGGAGGCGGTAGCTAGAGCTTCAATGGCAGATAAAGGCGACTTGCTAGCGGATCGTGCGCTCGCGTCCTGATGCACTTGGCGTTGTGCCTCCAAGCTTTTTTCACAGGCTCGGCAAGCAGCAATGGAGCTTATCTTATTCGTCAGTTGACATGTGCAGCCACTGGCAGTAGCAGTATTGAAGTGCTGCTTGCGGGCAGAAGTGAGCTGCGTGCTATGTGGAGCATTTTCGCACTCACGTTGACTCTTGTTACCAAATTCCTAGAGGACATACGGATCCCGCATATGTGGGGCAAGCTAGCCCTTCCTGTGTGGCGAAGCAGAAAACAGACTGACCGGCTCGCGCGCTCGCTCTCGCTCTAGCTCTCTCTTCCACGCACACACGCTAGTATACACACACACATATATATATATACATATACGTTTTGTATATGTTTATATTTATATGTGACATTTTACATGTATAGACATAGATAGATAGATAGATAGATAGATAGTTAGATAGATAGATAACAGATAGATAGATAGCAATCAATATCAGAAACTTATGGTACATTACACGTACCTCCCTCGGATCGTGCTGTGATTCCGCAGATCGCAAACAAACTGCAGATCCAGCAGGCTTCTGCAATCCCCATGCCCTCCCCCGATCCACTCTGGGTGCAGGTGGCCCAAGAGATTCCGGAAGGAGCCGATGGAGGCCCCTCGAGCGCTTCGCATCTTTGGGAGATGTTCGGTTTTGGTTTCGGTATTGTTGGTCTTACTCAAGAGCTGTGCATAAGAGAGGGTGTGTCCTTTCGTACCGGTCTGGAAAATCCGAACCCAGAGCCTCGAAAGCGGTGATACAAAAAAAAACATGCCATGCCTGGGCAGGCTACAGCCACGCTCCTGTGCCAAGTCCTTCATTCATGAGCGAGTGGTCGGGGGTGCCTGGGCATGACAATTTTTTTGGGTCTTCTGGGCTTCTCTGCTTGGTGCATGGCACTCTGTGAGTTTAATTGGCATCTGGTTTCATGGTCTTCCGGATGCTACTGCCTGCTCGGGCGTCGAACCGACTCCCCGCGTTAGCCTTCAGTGGATCGCATGGCCGATGAGGCAGTAGCGCCGTAGTTCGGACTACCTGGGATCCGCGATGAGGCCTTTGCACTTCCAGAACCTGGACAGGAAGCCGTGCCCCAGGCAGGATCCTTCCATTGGTCCTTTGCCAGAGCCACGCAGGATGCATTTTGTGAAGCCTCCGAGTGCTTTCGCGAGAGACCAGTGCACATTAAATCTCTTGAAAAAAGCCTTCAACTCAAAGCTTCGGCCCTTGGAGGTGGAGAATGCGCAGAACCCCTGAGCTTTGAGCTGCTTTAAACCCGGAGCTTTGTTCCTTCCAGTTTCGGGCGGCGCTGTGCAGCTCAAGAACCCTCCTCTCCGAAGGCCCGGCACGAGGAGGAGGTCTCCGATTCTCCGCCTCCGCCCATCGCGGTGGTGCCGATTGTGCTGCAGAGGCTGAACACCGAAGGCCAGAGACATGGAATATGTCAAATGTGTACTGGAGACATGCGTGGGTACATACATGTTACATGCACACAGCGCGGCGCTTTCTCCCACCCATGCCTGCCTGCTCACCTACCTACCTGCCCTCCCGATCCCTCTTGGACCGCTGAAGGGCCGGATGCAACTCAACCTGAGGGTACTTCCTTAAGCGACTTAGAAATGGACTCCTTCGCCGCACCAACTTGGCTTTAGCACCGAAGCTGTCAGATGTTGTTGCATGAAGTCTCGCACAGGGGTCCGAGTAATAACCTCTCCTGTTTGCCCCTACATAAACCTGTCACAATTCCCCGAAGAGCTTATCTAATAATCATTAACCTAAACCCTAATTCCTAAACCCTAAACGCCCCTCTATGAGATTCGGAAGCCAGGAAGCGACCTGGAAGAAGTGCTATTGGAGGATGCTGCGAGAGTCTGATCCGTTTCAGCCTTGCACCCTCAAGACGCCCACAACCCTGAAACCCCAAAGAAAAACCGGACAGCTCGAACCACGAGCAGCCCGAGCCCTGGCTTTTGAGATCTGGATTTTGGTGTTTGTTAGGTTTGGGAGCCTGAGCTCCAAAGGTTTAGGATGGTCTTGGCCTCGGCACGGGATGAACAGAGAATGCGGAGTTTAGGATTTAGGGTTGAAGCCTTGTCTGCGCGGAGAATCAGCTCAGCCGGAAACCGAACCATCCCAAGCCCAAAGCCACAGCTACTCCAAGAGCATTGCACCAAACCGCGAAGCCCAGCACCATTGTCATCTAATCATCCTAATCTCTGACCCGAAGTCAAAACATGCTCGAGACCCTGAGCCTTAAACTAAGCCGCTAAATCCGAGAGGACACGCCAGCGCTGGGCCTGGCACTGCCCAGTCCTCGCACGCAGCGCACGGAAGGCCACCGAAGGGGGGGACCAGGAGCTGTTTAGGGTCTCGGGGGGAAGTGGCTACGGTTACGGTTTAGGGTTGAGGGTTTGAGAGAATGCATGTGGGGGAATTCAGGGGTATATAATTGTGGTTTGGAGGTTCTCAGAAACTTAGGAGCCAGTTCGGTGTCGGTGCGCTGTTGAAATGCCGAGGCAGGCAATCTTGGCTTCTCGGATGAGGTGTCAGAAGATGGTGCGGTTCCCTTCCTGTCCTACGGGACTAGACTAGACCCTAAACCCGAAACCCTAGACCTCCCGGCTTTGTCCACGTGTGAGTGTCAAAATCCTAACCCCCCCACCCCCACCCCCCCCTCCCCGAGGCTTTGGCACCGGCTTCGGCAAATCCGTGCCGAGCACGCCGAGCACACCACGCACGCAGCGACGGAACTGGCTTAGTCGCCTCGGCCGGGGGCTGCGAAGCTTGGCGAGCGATCGAGACAGGAAAAGCCGGGCTGTGATAAGTAGAAAGGGGATGTGGGATATGTTGTTATAAGAATAATACTGGAGAAAATGAGGAAATATTGCTTTTCTAATTCTTCCGTCCCCGTCAGGCTGTTAAAAGCACCGTGCCTGCTTTGGGGCCAGCTTGCGTGTTTCGTTTCGGTCCCATCGCCCTACAGCAAGGAATTGGTGTTTTGGGCGCGCGGGACGAAGCTATCGTATCTGCCTTCCGTGAGGGCGAGGTCGCTGATTAGTAGTCGATGATTAGTTGATGCTTCTCGATGATGATGTCCAGCCGGGGCTGCGACGCTTGGGCCATACAAGTTGCGATGGTGCAAAGACTGCCCGATCAGTAACCTTTACTAGCCTTCGCTTTATGCAAGGATGGCTTGTTGGAAAGCAGCGTCGCAGCCCAGGGTGTACAGCTCCGTCTTCCACCAACAGTCGGGGGGCTACATGGAACATGTCAAGCCTTAGATTCTCGAACCAGCTTTCGAACTTGCGGTCCCCTGTACCGCTACAGAGGATCCGATTATGCGATGCCGCATCAAAGGCATCTAGGTTGCTTCAGAAGCCTTTCAGAGGTTCAAAAGCTGGCTCACCTCTCTAGCTTCCGGAAAAGAGCCGACAGTTTTCCTTTCGAAGTTAGCTGCCTGTGAGGGCCTCTTCGAAGTGACTTGCATCGGCTGGTTAGACTTTCCTTTTCCTTGCACCAGGATACCTTCCCTCGACCTGCGAGCAAAAGCACCTCAGGGCAGCAGTAGAGACTTGAAGCCCTAGCCCTAAACCCCAAGACTTCCCCCCCCCCCCCAAGAAAAGAAAAAAAACAGCTCCCTACACTCCCATGGCTATAAGCTCCCCTCAACTTCCCTAAGTTCCTAAGGCCACCAGGTAGAGGGAGGGCGACTCGCTCCGGCTTGGGTCTCCGCTGTTCGCACTCTGCGTTGCACAGAACTGCGAGGAAGCACCGGGCTTCCGGAAGGTGTTCAGCTGTTCACATAGTCTTCTTCTGAGAGGCCCCATATGGTGATACTGTACGAACCCTACCCCCTAAACCGTTTACCCTGCGACCGATTCGAAGTTTAAAGGCCCCGAGCCTTTCAGACGTGTTTTTTTGGTCGGGGCGCGCTCGAGCAGAACTGCCTTCCGCGCCGCGGGGCGTGTCCGAGCAAGCGCAGCTCATTGACGAGGAATTAATGGAGGCCTGGCACTTCGCCGGGGCAGTCGCCCGTGGCCTCCAACGAATGCGGCAATGCAGCTTATTGTATTAAAGCCTAACCAGGCCCCTATCTAATCTAGTCCCTGTTGGCTAAACTTCACAAGATGGGCCCTTCGAGGAAGCCGCAGGCTCGTCTTCTCGCCCGACAGGAAACTGCACTCCAAATAATGAGCTTTGCCGTGCCAGCTTCAGCCGATCTGCACTCGCTTCGATAGAGCTTTTCCGCCCGAAAGCGCACAGGTGAGGCTATGAATTTCATGAATGGGGCCACAGCGATGCTGCTCGCCAGGAGCAAGTGAAGACGTTCGATTCGGATCGTCGCATGCTTGCACAGTGGCGAAGCTTGGTGAGTCACTTCAATGTACCATGTTAGAGACTGGCTTCGTGCCAAGCATAGTGACATGGTAGTTGAGCTGACCATCTCATTACCAGCACTCAATACCGTGAGTTGTGTATGCATGTCACAGTAGGTCTTGCTCAGAGCCGAACACAGCATGTGAAAAGGAGCTGGCGAGCTGCAAGCTTTCAGCTTGCCAGCGCCCAGGCGTGGTACAGATAGATACGGAAGACGAGAGTGACGAGAGCAAGGCCAAGGAGGATAAGACTCAACTGTGCAAGCCAGAATGCAGTGAAAGTGCACCTCACAGTCTAAGTTTTGCGGAGCCATTCCAAGAGCAGCCCTGCAAGAGCCCCCACCACACTGTTGTGGAAAGAATACGGCTCCCTAGAACATGCACAGGACTTTGGCGAGAGCTGATTTCGGTCATTAGCCGTAACCCACGGATGTCGAGACGACGAAGGGGGGTTTCATATCAGCAAACGGCCTTAGGCTAGAAAAACCCCCTGCCGGCAGCGCAGAGCCCTCATTTCGCTGTTGAAGACCTGTCAGGTCGGTGGCACTCCGGTTGCAGTTGGCAGGGCGACCCAGACACAGCCAGATAGAAAGCGAAGGGAAAGAGCAAGTCCGACACTGGGCTCCAACACTCCTTCGTAACAGACCAGAGCGCTCGGCTGTGCCGTGTTGTGCATGGTGATAGCAGGACAGAGCGGAAGTGTGAATCCTGGACCCTTGCAATCGGAGCAACGCCGTGTTGAGGGAAGTCTGCCATGCCACTGTGTGATTGCGAATCGCGCCAAGAAAGCAGCAAGGACTCTCCTGTGTTCTGATTGCGGCAGCCGGTCTCTTGCCGCAACCAGGCTCTGGCAGGAGGGGTGCTGATGTGTGTATTATGTCGATGATGTTGAGCAGATTTCTGCATGTCGTTTGGTTTAATTTTCTCTTTGTGCACGCACGGGAAGCACTGCCAGTTTCACGGGAGGATCAAGTGCAGCGATGGGGTGGATGCCCAGATCAACTACCTTCAGGTGGCTGGGACGTGAATGGACGAAGCGCACCAATCCAAACACGGCGTTAATCCTTGGTGGTTTCTCGCAAGAGAGGTGCTTTTCAGGCTTCCTGCAATAAGGATCCTATTATTTAATGCATTCAGTATTTATATGGACCGTACATAGCTCCCTCCTGATCCTGGGAAGGGAACTACCGGGCTTGAGTTTTAAGGGGGCCAAAGTCCTACAACTTTGCACACTCCTTCAACTTCTGCATTTTAAACATTCTGCGTGCACCGCACTCAAACGTAATGATTCGTACTCCAATTGCTAGGGCTCCCCCCAGAATTGGCCTCTGGACATCAGTCTTCCAGGCACCTAGCCGCGGAGCCCGGCCGTACCTGGCGATGGGTGCAGGTGCCTCGTCACCAGGCCGGTCGAATTCGTTTTCTGTTGAAGTTGGGGTTTCGACCTTTACAGATGCTTTGGGGTTCGTGGGCTGGGGTACAATCCAGAGACACCAGGGATTCGATCGGAACAAGGGTCTCTCCAAGTTCGTAACACTTCTTTGGTACCTTCTCCCCTGCCACAATCACCAAGCGGACAGGTGTTCATTCTTCCGACCTTCCGAAGCTTTTCGTAGGGCATTTACATACAGGATCCCCTTCCACCGTTTGGAGGGCTTGCTTTTTCTCCACGTCCCCCAGCTTCGGGCTTTGTTGCTCTGGAAACATGGCTCGAAGCAAGCCTCGCAGCTCCTGGTCGAAAGGCATGGGGGAGCCGGTGCAGTATGCGCCCCAGGCAGGCCCCCTTGCTCTGCCCCCGGTGCTCAAAAGCAGCGAGAGTCGCCGTAGAATCCGCGGTCGCTACCTGCACCTGCAGATCCTGCGGATTAGACGAGCACCATAGGTTTGCCGAGGCTAGGGTGACGAGTGACGAAAGGGTTGGGGCAGGCCCGCTTCATTTGCGATGCGCGGCGGGAGCAACCCAGCCTCGTGGGCTCCTCAATTCTGCAATGACTACATGTAGCAAGGACACCGTTTGAGCATCATGCCGTCATCACAAACCAAGATCGCGAGGGTGCTGTTCTTCGACGTCAGGACACTGCGCTGAGGCAGCAGGACCGTGCTCGGGAACTGCTTTGTTCTGCACACACAAGAATTTGCTGTCGGCGAGGATGACAGCAGAGGCCGGCTTTTGACACGGGCAAGCGTTAGTAATGTTGGCCTGGAAGGAGTTGTCTTCGAGGAGCCATTTTGGCCCAGATCCTGATTTCAGCGGACCGACAGCCCCATCTGGCGAGAATGGAGCATGCTGTGCTGGAAAAGTTGCAGAATCACTTTGGTGAAGGTCCAGTTCCTCCGCAGGATGTCAGAGACCTGCTGCGGAAGTTAAAGGTTACGGAGTCGAGCATCGACTGTGCACTGCAGGCATTCGAAACTGCAGGCCCGCACGGTCTCACGTGCAAAGGGCTCGTGTCTTGGATCTTTGACAGTCCCGGCAGGAAGCCGCAGAATCACGGTGAGATCTTGACCCCCCAAAACGCAGGCCCTGAGCCGGCAAAGGCGCGAGCCTTGAAGATCAGGGCAGAACTGGACATGACGGCTGACCGGTTTGAAGGCTACATGCGCCTGCTGGCAAGGTTTGCAAGGTGCTGTGAAATTCCAAAGACGGAGCTTCGGGGCATCACGTTGGATCAGCTTCGGGTGGTCGAAGACTTCGTCACACAGCATGCTGAAGAGTGGGAATGGTTTGATGTGCGATCGAAGCAACATGTGGACCCAGCCACCGCCAACCTTTACCATGTAAGCACCTGGCTGATCATGCCAGCTACGAACACCGACGATTGTGCTTGGGTGGAGATGGTAGCCAGAGGTGATCAGCGGCCACAATGGTTCTGCAGCCATTGGTGGGGCGAACCTGTGCGAGATTTCATTCGATGTGTCTCTCAGCATCAAGAAGTGCTGCTTCAACACGGCGTCCGCACGAGCTGATGCTGAAGAGTCTGCTTGGGCGTACTGGGTTTGTGCCTATGCCAACAGGCAGCACTCGCTGGAGGCAGAGCTTTCCTCAGATCCGAAAGAATCAAGTTTCTTTAAAGCTCTGCAGCTGGTGGAAGGCATGCTTATCATCTTGGACACCAATGCAACCCCTTTCACTCGCCTGTGGTGTGCCTTTGAAGCTTACACTGCTCTGAGTGACAGGAGGAACGGACATCAGCATCTACTCCTCGACATTGCAACGAAGATCCCCGGAATTGAAGCTGCAGCTCTGCTCACCGATGGTCTCACAGTGGCCGAGCAGCAGCTCGAGAGTGCACTCGAGGAGCATCAAGGACCTTCAAAAGGCCCCCCGAAAGAAGGCGGCGTGGGTGCGAACCTGGCAAAGCGATTGCAGCTCTACAGGCAGCGAGCTTTCACGCTCGAGGTCTTGAGTAGGGGCCTACAGCCCAAGCTTCATGAGGCCCAGGCCTCTAAAGAGGAGGATCGCAGGCGCATTCTAAACAGCATCGTGCAGAAGAGCGACTTAGACTCTGAGCCTGACAGTCAGCATGTCAATTATGATACCGTCAACACATCCTTGGGGGGCATCTTTGCAAGAGCTGGCCTGGAGCAGGCACTGCTCAAGGGACAGGTCCAAGAGTTGTCGTTCCACGAAGCCCTTCGTGCAGACAAGAGCTGTTCGGAGTTGAAGCTGGACTTGACGCACATGTTGCCCAGCGATGTGCATCTCGCAGACTTGGGATTGTGCTTTCCCCAGTCCCTGCGACGGCTGCAGATGGACTTAAGCGGCTGCGAGAAGGTGACTGCGAAGGGCTTTGCTGCCTTGGCAGCTGGCTTTCCTGCTTCCATGAAGCATCTTCAAGTTGATTTTCGGAGTTGCGCGAAGCTCTCAGATGAGGATTTGGCTGTCCTTGGGTCAAGGTGGCCCAAAGAGCTTCAGGACTTAGAACTGAGCTTCCTCTACTGCCGCAAGATCGGCGATTCCGGGGTCGCCGTGCTAGGAGAGGGACTTCCACACTCGCTGCGGCAGTTGAAGCTTGACCTCACTAGCACTGGACTTGGGGATGCTGGTGCGGCGCGTCTGGCAGCTTGCCTTCCCAGCGAGCTCCGATGCCTGGATCTGGAATTCAGGTATTGCAACATCGGCGATGGAGGTTTGGCAGGAATTGCAGCTGGCCTCAAGAAGCTGAAGCAGTTGGAGCATTTCCAGATTTCAATGCGGAACTGCTTGAACTTGGGTGACGCTGGCTTGGTCTCCCTGTCAGTGGCATTGCCAAGATCTTTGCTGTTCTTGCAGCTGAACTTTGCCAACCTTTCGTGCAACCTTTCGGATGCAGGGCTGGCCGCCCTGGCGCACAGACTGCCAGAAAACGTGACGGAGTTGTGCATTCAGTGCAACGGCGCCAGTCGCATCGGTTCTGCCGGGCTGGCCGCTTTGGCTGCAGGCTTGCAGAGGCTGGGACCAAAACGCTTGCAGCTGGACTTTGGCTTCTGCTTGGAGCTTGAAGACAGTGGGCTCGCGGCCCTTGGCTCAGCACTTTCCATGCTTGCACTAGAGGAGTTGAAAGTCGACTTTGGCTTTACGAAATTCAGTGACTCCGGCCTTGCTGCGTTTGGTGCTGGACTGCCCTTGGGGCTGCAACGTTTGAGCATGAACATGGAGTTCTGCGGGTACATGTCTATGGGGCAGAAGGACGAGATGTTCAGCGATCCCTCTCTGTTCCGTGCTTGGGCCGCCAAGTGGCATGAGGTCAACGTTGCTGTGCCCCCGGCTTCTGCCTTCGGCGGTGAGTGGCCGGTGGCAGCTGAGCCAGCCATCGCAGCAGAAGCTGCCTCCGAGCCTAGGCTGGACAGTGTCGAAACAGAAGGCACTGCCTCCGAGGTTTTGGACAGAAGCCTGCAGCTGGTGGAACCACGTGTGCCACTGCCGGCTGTGCCTTGCCTTTGTGTTGCACTTCGCTGTTGTCAACGTGCGCTACGAGAACTGAAGCTTGGCTGGAAGTCCGAAGCGATCGCGGACTCGCACCTTGATATGCTGAGCTCAGCATTGCCCAGTACATTGCAAGGCTTAGAGCTGAAGTTTCAGGCATGTGAACACATCGGCGACGATGGGTTGGCTCTTCTGGGTGCCAGGTTCCCGGGTCAGCTCCAATATGCACAGCTCCACTTCACGCAATGCAAAAGAGTGAGCGATGTGGGAGTGAGGAAGCTTGTTTCGGCTCTTCCACAGAATTTGAGGCATCTGGAGCTCTGTCTCTACGCTTGCCAGAGCCTCACAGACGCTGGGTTGGCCGGTCTTGCAGTCGGGCTGTCAAGCCTGGCACTTCTGCAAGAACTCGTGCTGTCCTGGAGCTTCTCAGAGAAGATCACCGATACTGGGCTGGCTGCTTTGGCGGCGGTGCTGTCCCCGTCTTTGCTGCGCCTGGACCTTGACATGCAGAAGTGCGGCATCGGCGACACCGGGCTGTCAGCCTTGGCACGTCGATTGCCGAGAGGGCTTCAGCATCTGCGGCTGGGCTGCTTCCCGTTGCCCAAGCTGGGCGATGCCGGAGTACAGGCCCTTGCAGATGGCCTCCCACCTGAGCTCCGGGAACTCAGCCTCGACTTTTCTGACTGTCCCGAAATCGGCGATGCTGGGCTCATTGCTTTGGGTGCGAATCTTCCTGCCAAGCTGGAGGCTCTGGATCTACGGCTCTTCAACAACACGAGGATTGGGGTTCATGGATTTGCCGGGCTGGCGAAGGGATTGTCGGATCTGGCCATCTCAGGCCTGAGGCTAGTTTTGAGATTCTGTGCAAATCTCTGCGACACCGGCTTGGCTGAAATTGGGAAAAACCTGCCGAAGCGCCTGCGACTCTTAGATTTGGACATGACGGTGTGTGAGAAAGTTGGTGATGCTGGCCTCCAGGCGCTGACAGTGCTCGACTGCTTGCAGCTGCGGTTGTCGCATTGCCACATTGGAGATCCTGGTCTGGCCGCTCTTGGGAGAAACCTGCCGGAAGGTTTGCAAGAGCTGCAGCTGTCGTGCTCTTGTTGTGAAAGAGTTACCGTTGAGGAGTCCAGCCTTGTTATCACCGATGCTTCCGAATTTCGAGCTTGGGCCATAGAGCAGCCCCAAGAAGGGCATGCTGAGTAGAGATCTTCTGAGAAGAGCGGCTTTGCCGGCAATCTACTCTCTCTCTTAAGTGTGGTCATCTGTGGCTTGTCACATGCCCAAGGCAGTGAGCAGGAGTTTTATCCAGAAACGGCGAGCGCAAAACGCCGCACGAGCAACAGCCATTGAGCACTGTTCCGATGGTTTTCTTGTTGTCATCATCCATGTTGCATCCTCGCCGTGGGCATTGCCATCATGCACACCATCTCCACTATCACCACCAGCAGCGCAAGCATCATCACCAGCACTACCACTACCAGCAGCAGCAACCCCACCGCCACCGCCGCCGCCGCCAGCACCACCGGCATCATCACCAGGACGATGATCATCACCAGCTCTCCTGTCAGGAACATCATTACCATAGTGACTGTCGGATTATCGCGACTGTCGTCATCTCAGACATGTATTCCATTTTGCAGTTCAGTTTATCCGGGAAGTATGCGGCTCGCCGATGAAGACCTCGCTGGTCATCATGCTGATGATGATGATGATGATGATGACGACGATGCCGCTATACCACCTTGATCATGGCATGTGGCGAGGGCGATGCTGACGATGACTAGGGCGATTATGACTATGGAAATTGTGACGGGGTGACGTTCATGGATACGTTAATGATCATGATTCTGAAGGTGGCCGTGTCCGTGGTGGTTTGATTCGACTGCAGATCTGCTGTTCTTGATGATGGCATCAGTATTCGTGTGGCGAGAAGCTGCCTCGGGTCAGCTTGGCAGCTGGGGTCTGTCTACATTCTCGTGAACCGGACCGGCTCGACTCCCTGCCCCCACGTGATTGCATGACACGGGCCTCACTCAGACGCCCCTGCAACAGTCGCAGGGGAAAAGTCACAGGTGTCACGGCCAGAATCGAGATTGCATGCACCGCTGATCAGCAAGTACTGGTAGCCGTAAGAAAGCCTGGAGTGCATTAGAGTATTAGAGAGTTGTCATGACAATGGCAAGACTAGACAATAGTAATAGAACCATTGCAGCTGCTGCTGCCGCTTTAACGACGACGACGATGACCACTGCCACGTTGTGGTGCACAAATTAATCGGATCACCACTGGCAGCAACGAGAGCAGAATTTACTTGCCGCAAGCAAGCTCATCCATGTTGCTTGCAGAGCCTGCGGCATCCGCTGATTTCCGGGTTCTGGCGGTTCACAATGCTAGCTGCAGGATTTCTACGACGAGCAAAGAATCGTTGATGCGTACTACAAGGAGATCTGCGAAGTCGTGAAATCAGCGACAGGCCCACATCTGATGCCCTGTACTTAAGTAGCATAAACTAAGTCGTCAGTGGTCAGCTTCTAAGACTTGACTTGTCGCGCGCTCCAGCCAAGTGCAGTTCTAGCAGGGGTTTTGCCACCGGTCTTCCGACTTGCCAGCGGTTCCTGCCGAAACACTTGTTTGCATGCAAATCAGAGATGCATCCTGCAGGCGCGGATCAGGTTATTGCATTCCACCACATTGTCCGCAACGAACGTCTGGCCCTGCAGCTGGCCGATGGAGATGCCAGCAAACTCTCCGGCTTCGACAACGGCAGCGGTGGCGTGGGCGGGTACGCAAGGCTCTGTGGGGTGCTTGCATTGGACTTGCTACTGTATCCCGGGGGCCAACATGTGCTTGAGCTTCATCTGCTTTCAGTTGTCAGCTCCTTCACAGGAATGCCCATGCTGACTACACGACGGCGACTGCAGCTGGCTCCTCAGTCATGTGAAGGTGCAGAAATCCCTAGGCCCTGGAGGCGACGTGAGCAGGGTTTTAGGGTGCTGCGAGAACACACGGTCCTGTTTGCTCGCAGTCTTGCATAGTAAAGCCATTGTGAGGTCGGCGCTGCGCGCCAGGCCTTGTGCTCCGTTGACGATGAAGAGATAGTCAAGCGGTGTGCCGGCAGTCGTTTTGCGCTGGTCAACGCCTGGCGAAGCATCAGCTACTCGACCAAGTTTGCCAACCTGAGTTCGGTGTCGCTCTGCTGTTGGACACTCGTTGGAATTCCTGCAGCAGGAGACACAAGGGGAGGCTGCATCAACAGCCGCAGCCGCAGTCAAACACTCTTGCCATTTCCAGGTGATTCTTCACCCGTCGTGACCCACCCGCTGGCACTACTGGATGCCACGACGGTGTGCGAGGCAACGGGAAGCTCGAGGGCAGCTTGCGTGAGGGGTGCCATGGGGCGATGTTTGAGTGCTGCGTGTCAACTGCCAGCTACTCAATATTCACGATGCCGGGACTGCCTGGGTCGCGAGCGTGGGCTGCATTCCTGGACTGCTGCGACAGGACGATATCGTGCTGGTGGACCTCCTCTACCCAGGCTTTGTTTCGGAGTCGCTGCAGATCACCTTCTCGCCAAAGCACCGCTGGCTCTACTGGCCATGCACCTTGGTGAGATGAAGTGTGGTGGTTGGGGCTTTGCCGTTGCTGTATACGTCTGCAAACGCCAAGCCACTGGCCGGCGCAGCGTCCTCGGCTCCGGTGCCTTAAAAGGTCACATTTTCTACCGCCCAGCCGCAGCCATGGCCCCCACCCGTCGCTCGCCGCTCCTCGTCGTCCTGGCCCTGGCTGTTGCCGCTTGCAGTCCGGCCTTCCTGATGCCAGGCCGGAGCTTCTCATCGCCTTTCGCCAATCATGTCTAAAACTTGCCCACTCAACGATAGCCTTTGAGGGTTTTATCCTAGCACAGCGCTTTGTCGTTAACATGCGTGGCCACAACAGGAGGATGTGCGGTATGCGCGACAAAGAGCAAGATATGCGGTTCCTGCAGCCGAATTTTCCGCGGGAATCTAAAGACCGGAGAGTGCCTCAAACTCGTTCTTCCAAGGTCTCCGGCCGTCTGTGCCCGAGAAGACTCAGCAGCTCGTCGCCGGCGCGGCCTTGGTTGCGCCACCTGCTCCCGCTTAGCAAGCGCTCTTAAGGTCTTTCGGTATTAGTCACCATAGAGTCACTGCACAAATCCCCAAATACCCAGACAGTCCGAGTTGTGAGAGCGTAAAATCCCAGATGGTAGAAGCCCGCAAATAGTCACCAGAACCCCAAGTCTGCTTGTAGAGCCACCCAAAACCCCGAAACAAACACATCGCGCCAGCCACCCTTTGCGATTCCCCGTAGAGTCTGTAGAGCTTCCAAACAAGTCCACCAACAAAGATTAAAAAATGGTGCAGGGAACATAAACTCACTCCTCGCTAAGACATGCGAGGTCCATGCCTGCTCCCGCTCATGCCGGTGGCATGTTCGACTTCGGGTTGACGCTCCCATTCGTGGCGGCACCTCGGCAGTGTTCTTTGGAATGTCGTGGGCATCAATATGTTTGTACAGTCTAGCCGTGCATCTATTTATGTATCTGTCTACCTCCTATCTATATCTATATCTATATCTATATCCATCTCCATCTCCATCTCCATCTCCATCTCCATCTCTATCTCTATCTCTATGTCTGTCTGTCTAACTGCCTATCTATCTATGCATCCATCTATCTATCTTTGTACCTACCTACCTACCTGTTTGTCTGTCTGTCTCTCTATGTGTCTGTCCTGCTGTCCTTTGTTTTCTATTTATGTACATGTGTATTGAGTGTAAAAACACACACATGAACGGTCTACAACCTGACCTCTCTCCGTATGCATACACGTGATTTTAATGTTTACCCGTTGCTTAGCTTCGACAAATTTCACCATGCGGAAGCGGAGCCTGATCCGGGTTGAGCTCCCTCCCTTGAGGTGCTCTTTGTTACCGTCGGTTTAGGGTTTAGGGTGCACTAAGGTGACACCGCTTGTCACAAGACATGCTTAAAGTTTAAAGGGCTTTATGGCTGCTTCGCCTGGGCATGTCTTGTGGACGATGCAAGTACCATAGGCTTTGTTCTTGGAGTACATGTACGGCATGTCTTCAGACGATGAAGCCCAAGGGATTACCGACATGACATACTAGGTGATTCAGAATGTACGATGGCCTTGACCACGTTGAGGCATATCAGTGTGCTGCGGCAGTCGGAATTAACATTCATGAAAAGCCTCCGCGAGCATGTAATATTTTTTTATGCCGCCGAACTAATGCATCCCTTGATGCTGTGGCTGCTAGCTGCTAGGGCTCCTTCCTGCTCTTGATGGCTGTGCTCAACGCCCTCTTCTACGCACCCGTCTCGGAGGAGACTCTAAGCCCAACACCACCGGCTACTATCGTTGAACGGCAGCAGGCGACGATATCGAAGAGGAAGAGTGAGTATTTGTCTGACCTTCCTGCTTACATTGCCGATAGACTTTGGCGTAGTAATCTTGTGGTTCAGTTCGAGTTTGTCCCTAATGACAGAGTTAGAAACACTCAGGCAGTGTTACAGGCTTGAAATCTGAGCCGTGCTGCCTTACTCCTTTCAGCTTCCTTCAGCCTCCTGCGTCAAAACGATGCTTCGCGCCCAAACCCCTACACCCTCAGAGCTTGCAAGTGTGTAGAAATGTCTATGTGTCTATGCCTGCAATTAAGTGTAGACCGGTTCTTTGCGGTCTGTATCCTTCTTTCAGCTGTTACTTTCAGCGAGCCTTGCACGATTCAGCTGACCAGATCCGAGCCCAGAGACCCCATCTAGCTGAGCCGAGCTGCGAGAGCGTAAACTCCCAACAGGCGTAAACCACAAAAAACTCTTAAGCCCCTAAAGCCTGGACCCTGGCCCCCTCCATCCCCCCCCCCCTTCTCCAAAAAGACGCCCCCCCCAAACGCCGGAGGAGATGGAAGAGAGAAACTCGAAGCTTCTGCAGACCCTGTCTGATGCCACCGACATGCTGGCAGAGGCTGATGAGATGCAGGCCGCAGCACGCCCTTTAGGGACCCTGCAACTGTAGGGGTCTAGGATTGACGGCCTTGGGGTTTAGGGCTTTGGGGTTTAGGGTTTCGCGAGGAGTTCCAGAGTGGAGCTGACGGTCCGCGATGTCAGAAGGGCAAGTTCGGCCAGTATGGGTCAGGTGCAGTACACCGCGGAGATCAAGGAGGCACGGGAGAAGGCTGCGAAGGAGCCAGATGATGTCATGCACTGGGGCTCGGGGTTCAGGGTTTCGAGTTTTCGTTCGGAAGTCTCTTCTTCGAAATCGGGGATGCGTTCTAGGGCCTCTGGGGGGTCTAGTAGTCGAGGAGCTCCCTCCATCTAGAAGTCTAATAATTCAAGTGGTCGACCTCTCAAGGTCAGTCTGGAGTTGCACTTAGCGGGGAAGAGCAGATTATGATGACCATTCCTCAGTTTTCATGTGCACCACACCCGGCCACAAGCACGATAAGTACGGACGATCATCGGCGATGTCGCAATAGATCGGTCTTTCTAGGTACTCTCACATAAGCGATTTCCGAAGCTCAGCCTTGCACTTTCGAGCACAACGGAGTCCAACTCAGATGTCTAAATCGGTTGAATCGTGAAGGTTGCGAGGCCCAAGAAGAACGACTTAAACAGGAGATGGTGAGACATCGCAACATGCAGACCATTACACAATCCAGTCGACCTTACGTGGAGTTCGCGATTGCAGATCCGCATTGGTCAACGTGTTAGCCTTCTCGGTTTAATTTAAACGACGATGCATCAACAATGTATGGGCCGCATGGGGTGCATGCCGTCGAACAAGCAGGCACTAAACCCTGCATTTTGCTATCGCTATTGTACTGTTCCTATTGCTACTGCTGCTGCTGCTGCTACTACTACTACTACTACTACCACCCCTGCTACTACCACTACCACTGCCACTACCACTACCACCACTACTACTACTACTACTACTACGACTACTACTACTACTACTACTACTACTAGTACTACTAGTACTGTTTTCCAAACTCCCGCCGCTTACAGCAACCGAGCCTGAAGGAGCTTGCGGAGGCGCGGGAGAAGACGGAGGCCGCCATTGAGGCCGACTCTGCCAGGGCAGCTTGCGGCGTAGGGTTCGGGTTTTGTGGTTTAGGGCCGTTTAGGGTTCAGGGTTTAGGGTTTACAGGGTTTATATAAATAGACGTTGAGGACGCGAGCTGGCGGGGGGTGTTCGCTGCCGAAGTCGCCCAACCTGAACCCCAGAACGCAAAGATTCAAAATATTCCCCTTCGGGAGTTGGGTGCGGGGTGAACTGGAGAGGAAGGCTAGCCGAGAAGCTATACCACGGAGCTTTCATAAGTTGCGTTACGCCTGAATGCCTCCGGGTCGGAACAGCTGCTGGCTAGGCAGTCTTGCCCACAGCTCTCAATCCAAGCCAGAGCGACGGCTCCAGTGAGCAAGCCACACCTCTCTCAACATGGAAAGAGGTACAGTCGTCAGAACAATGGTCGCGTGACCATGCCAATGCTGAGCATTGGCAGTGCAGTAGACAAAAGCGGGAAAACATGCGAATGACGGCGAGATTAGTGATGACAATGCTGCGGCTAGGATAGCAGTAGTCACAACACCGGCAATAAGAACAACCGTGTCATTGCGGAATGAAGAGATAGCTAGGAAAAATAGCAACCTCAATCCCCCAGTCTAATCGAGGGAATGAAGGATTCTAGTCACAACGCGAGCCACCATGGGAAACAAATACCACGAGTCATCGTGACAGCATTCAGGCAAGAGAAAAGACACCACAAGTACTTGCAGAGTACCAGGTGATGTGGCATAAATAATGTCCTCAGTCAATACATGCTAACTTGAACGTAACCGAAAAATGTTGGTTATGATGGTGGAGATCCCTTGGGAGAAAGTGCATAGTTAAATGGACCTTCGAATTTCAGTTGCCCGCAAGGATGGCCCAAGCCCGAAGGGGCAAGACACCGTGTAGAATACTATCTAACACCACCCAGCATCATACAATACTGTGTAAACCCTTTTTAGTACTATATGCTTCTCATGGCGAAGTAGGAGGCAGCAACTATGTGTCTTAGCGGCTTTGGGCTTGAATTCAAAGGGGTACGTACTTACAACCCCTCAACTTGCGATGGACCACAGCGATCTGATCCTGGTGGAATCGTGGCTGCGTCGACGCCTTCATCTGGAGAAGGCGGGTTAAGGGTTGAGGGAGTTTCTTGGGGCCTTGAATGCATATTGAGACTTGCTCTTTCTTCAGCAATTTTTTTCAACCCTGAATCAATACAGGGATTAGAAGGATTTGAGTCTTGTGTTGTGTATGTCAGGACTTAGGCATGTCTGCGGGCGGGTCAGACTGTCCCGGAGGTTTAGCATTTGGGTAGTTTTCTAAATTGGAGTTCCTTTTAGGGTCCTTTTTATCAGGGTGTCGTACTATCGTTGGGGACCGAAAAAGGGGCCCTACTTTGGAGAACTACCCATTTCACGAGGCTGGTCAACTCTAAGAATTTAGAGGTTCAGGGGCTTGCGGTCGCGGCTTGCTGCATTCGTCTCTTGGGGGATTCGGGTTTTGCCTTGGCTTGCCGCAGTCCATTTGCACCTTGAATAAGTACCCTGCCACGTGCCGAAACTGCAAGCCACCACAAGATCATTGCAAGCGCGCGATACTCAGAAGTCCACTGCGTCGTGATGCCCGAGGTCCGAAACCAACAAGTTCCAATTTCGCGATCTCATCGGCTAACTTTGCAAAGCAATACAAAACACAGGGCCTTCGCCCCACAGATTCAGATTACATCAAACGAGATGCTAAAGCATCGCAGCTAGCTGCACAGCCAGCAAGTGTAGGCCACGGAAACATTCTTGACATGTGTGGACACTATCTGTCTATAACCGGTAAACCCAAAACCCCAAAACCCTATCTCAGACGTCGTGAAGACATGCCTGCTTGGAGCGAGTGTGTGAGTCGTCAACACCCTATTGGTTCCTATCTTTCCCTCCAGCTTTCTTAAAGCTCAGCTAGTTTCCACCAGAGACGAACGTCAGACCGGAAGCCTCGCCTGCGTTGTCCGGGTGTGACAGCCGAAACCCTGAAACCCGAAGATGGCGACTCCACACCAAGAGAGAGAGAGAGTGCTCGAAAAACAAACCCTAAGAGTCAAGACGGACACCAACGAAGCGCAAGCTGTTGAAGGCACTTCTTTCCGTCATTTAAGTCTGGAGCTACGGGGCTCTTGTACGGAAGCTAGAGTCTGCGAGTGCGTTTACGACGAAACTTGGCTTTGAGCCTTGGGAAACATCAGCAAACTTCGCAGTTAAACGCATCATCAAGCTGAGACTTCTTATGCGGAATTGGCAGGTTGGAGAGCTTGAGCTCGACGGAGGTTCCCACGGTGCTGCAGGAAGTGGGCAACATTCCGCTTACTGCCTTTGAAGCAATCCGCGTGTCCATGTGCGAATGCCGGTGGTCTTCAAGTTCCTGTGAGGTGGGTCTCGTGATGCCTCGCTGAGTCTTCCACTGGTGCGTCCGATGGGAGAAGGTTTGGATGAAGTATCCATTTGTTGCTGTTTGCTGGGCCATGCGGCCGCTTCGGCGACTCCAGGGCACGAGTCTTGTTTTGAATGTGCAGCCTCGAGTGGTGTCGCGATCGCGTTGCCCCTGCCCTTGCGGGTTCTACTCCTCCTAGAAGCCCTCAACTCCTGGCCAAGCACCAGTGCGTGGTGTTTGCTGCGAAGACATGATGAGTCCGGCTTTAGTACGCTGCGGTACTAGCTCCACGCATGCACAAGATTTCTTATGCCTTTGCAGCAAGACGCGTGAAGTGTCCGTGTGGGAATGAATGCCGCTGGTCCTTATCTTCCTGAGAGGTGGGTTTCGTGATACGGTAAGTGAGCGCACCGTATCCCGCTGAGTCTTTCACTGATGTGTCGGAAGGATGAAGTATCCATTTGTTCCAGTCTGCTGCGCAATCATGCTCGGATGGGTTGATAGCACCGTCTTTACTGTCGCTTCTTGGGGCTGGAGACGGAAGAGTTTTGCAGCTGCCTGGTGCACGAAGTTGCAGGCTTCTCCAGGCAGCTCTTTTCGAGTTTCCCTGGACACCACTCCTGAAGCAGGGTTTGGTTGGGGGTTGCAGAAGGTCTGGGGGTCACTTAAATCTGCCGGCCATTTCGCCATAGCTTGTGACACCCATTAACCATAGCCCGCTGACGAGGCAGCTACTTCCGTCAGCACGTGGTTTCGCTGTGCACGCATCCGTCGTGCATGTTCTTTCAGCGCATCTGCCACATGCGCATGTGGCGGCTGCTGTCTGAGTTGCGGTGGCTTCCCAACCTGTCGGCAATTGGTACTGGGCAGCATGATGTACCGAGGAACCCAAACTGCCTGAAGCTCGAAAACGGCCCAAGGCCCGCCCTTGGTGGACTTCCGATTGACCATGCGCAGACTGACCGCTGGGCGATTTAGAGCTGGACTAGGCTATCATCATATCATTGTCTGTAATATCCCAGGATCCCTGCTTAGAACTTTTCAGCAGCGTGAGCTCTCGTGGAATCCCGATCGATGCACTCCGTTCCGCTCGAATTCCTGTACCATCCGTCCGACGGCGGTACTGAGGTTCCCATCCTCACTTCTAAGGTTCTAAGGTACGTCCGAGGAAACAACAACGTCTCATGCGCTAGTCAAATTTCCCGAGCAGCGTCACGATATAGTCTCGAACCATACCGCCTCGAGCCCCTAAACCCTAAACCCTTGCGAGGTTCAGAGCCCGATACTCCAGCTTCCACTTCTTCTGGAGTAGACGTTCCATTAGCGAAAGCAGCCCTCACCGACGGTGAAACGTGCAGACCCACTCCTGGTAATCCCAAAGCAGCACAAACGACCCCTCTGGACCGATGCACCAGCTGATGTGAGATACGCCGGCCAGCAAGAAGGTCTGACCTCCCATAGAGGCCTGCCCATGGTTCCCTCGCAGGGTCTAGCCATCGAGGACAAGTCACAACCTCTCATTCCGACATGTGCTCGTTTCAAGTGTCTCGGAGGCTTGAGCTTTCAGGCGATTGGCTGATGCCGCCGTCTTGTGCTGAGTCAAACGACATGCATACTGTTACAGTCTGCTACAGGCCCGAAGCCCGACACGACGGCGAGTCACCGAGAGTCCGTCTTGCCACCTGGCGCTGGCCGGCTGCCTGCAGTGCATCAAGCACGCAATGTTACAAATTACAAGCTCGCAATATAAGCCCAAGATATTCAGACACGAGACAGAAGGATGCCGGGAGACCGAGAAGAAGAGACCATGCCACGGCAGTCTGTGCTGGGCGAATCAAGGCCACCGCCATGCAAACGCTTTTCACTACCCTGGGATTAGTTCTGAGGGGAAGTGGTGCAAGCCGGTCGCTTGTCTTTACATCCGGCTACGACTGTGGCATGGAGCTTGTGGCTGGCTGTTGCAGCACACGCTTGAGAAGCAAAAGGGCTGAGACAAAACCCCTGGGATGAGCACCAGGTCACCAGGAGCCGGAGAATGTCAAACATGTCAAACCATGGCCTTGGGATAAGCGACCCGCTTCGCGGGCTGCCCACTTGACCAGGCTCCATCCAAGAGCAAGAAAAGGCTCCATGTCCGCGCGTATTTTACTCGTCAAGTCCGGTGCTCAAGCTTCAAACGGAAATCGCAGGGTGTCGATCCGCCACACGATGAAACTCCCGTTATTTCTATCGTCTAGGGAACCTAACTAACTATCGTCCTCTATACAACACCACCTGCCAGTGCCTTTTGTCACGGCGCCATGCGGCGCCTTCCTTGGCCCGACCGGGCCATCTTGATATATCAAGGTCTGCCAAGGCCGCCGCCCGGGGCTGAGCTGAGCCGGCGGCTTTGAGATGCCCGGCTGGCCCGCCCGGCGTGCGTACATGGAGGGCGCTAAGTCGTCCCTCCTTGCTGTACAAGGCATATAGTGCTTTGAGAATCTAGCTCTCCTTGAACCCTTTACGAGTAGCACTAGTCTTGCGGCGTTTCCAAAACTTGCGTATGCCATCATGGGTCCCATAAACAGGTACTCCTAGCCAGAAAGCTGCTATCAGG